TGCTAGAAGCTTTGTTTATTCATTTAAAAATGAATAAATAATTTACACTTGTTATTTATACTTTACTAAATTATTAAGCACCAGTAGCATTCTAATCACTGTCCTGGACACTTTGACACGTTTTCAGTTCTCTTCACCTTTTAGACTCTAAGAAAGTTAAATGAAAAAAAGAAGAAAAATAAACTGTGTTGACGGGTCTGGTCTCCTTTGCTCCTGGAGTGGCTCCTCCCAGCCACCTGAGCTCTAGGAGCAATCACTTGTTATGTTACACTCAGCAACTGTTACTCAGCTACTCTTGCTTGTCCATCTCACACTCACCTAACCTGGGACTGGCAACCCTCCATGAAAAGCCAGCTTAATAGACTCCCAGTGGACTCTTCTTTGGAGTTTCTCTCAGAGATCCTGCTCAGAACCCAAAATTCAGGCTGGCTGTGTACTTTTTCTAGGTTGACATTATTTTACCTAATAAGCATTATTATATGCAAAGCAACAGAAGGAAACACAACTTACCTTTTGCATGGTTTTAAGAGCCCAACTTTCATATTGTGTTTCTTGAAACAAAAGTCTGGGAAAGGGGATAAGAGGATGGTTATAAATGGTAAATGGAATGGTTAAAAATGGTAAAGGGAAGTAAATATAAAGGAAGACTAGAGTGACAAAGTGGTACACAGCTAAATGTAGATGAGTCTGGCTTTGAGTTTAACCAAATGGATGGTACGCTGATGGAGGAAAAAGAGAAATGAAAAGAACATAAATTTGGGACTCGATTAAAGGCCTAGAAAGTATTTTTACCCACTTCCAATTAACAAGAAAAGGAGACAGGGCAATATAATGGCTCCTTTGTAAAAGTGGAAAGAGCAGGGATGGCTTGGATTTGCACACATGTAGATATTCAGTGATGTCATGGCTTCCTTTTTCTCTCAGTGTCTCTATTTCTTTCAGTTTATGACAATGGTGGCAAACCTACAGCATATGTGACACAGTGAGTTGTGTATCACTGAGAGCCCTAAAAGGTTAGCCATCACTGGCTGATGGTCTTTCTTCTTTCCTAATACATGGGTCTTTCACCTCTTAGCACATATAGTCACATTAGATTATAAACCCAGGCAGAGCTGTCAAGGCATCGAGTTGGTCAAAGTACAGAGATTATTCAAACCCCAAAAGTAATAGCCGGCAGTTTCCAATGGCTGCATCATGCAGTGAGATGAAGCTGAATTGAATGAAGCCTGGGGACAGAGCCAGAGCTCATCACCTGTTGAATTGAGGTCTGAGAAGAGAATGGATCTTTGTGTGCTGCTGTATGCTAAGTTATTGGGTTTCCCTCATTTTGTATGAATCAGAGAAGAGGGTGTCACTCATTGGTCTGGTGTGTCTGATAAGCTCATGAGCCTGGTTTCTTGGATATGATTTTGATAAACCATGTGCCCATGTACCCTAGATTTGTTTGGACAAATTTATAGGTGATAATTGTTACTAGCATGGTTAATCAGTTTGTGTCTTATGATTGTGTTGTGCATCTGGTGGTTGTTCTTTTCAACAAATTCTATGTGTCCAACGTCTGATGACTATTTGCACAGACAAGGTATCAAGTTGTTTCTACCTTTGCACTTACACTCAAAATGGAATAACTCAGGGCAACCTGCTCTAGGCAGGGAATTACCTGAAAGCTACTGTTCTATACACTTGAAGTAAATTCAGAGCATAGCACAGCCTCTTCTTCACAAAAACTATCTGCCTGAAGACAGTATTAGATTCCTAAGGCAAGGGTTCTGTTACCCAAGACTGATCCTCACTTCCAGTGCCAATTACAAGCCCCAGTTTGCTTTAATTACGCTTCTGCCCTTTGAGGTTCCCACAACTCACTCCCTGAGTTCATTTAATTTGCTAGAGCAGTACACAGAACTCTGAGAAACTCTTACGCTTACCAGTTTATTATGAAAGACATTACCAAGATACAGATGAAGAGAAAGATACACTGGGCAAGGTAAGAAGAAGGGTTGTGCAGCTAGCATGTCCCCACAGAGCATGCCATCCTCCAGGAATCTGTATCATGTACAGCTATCCAGAGCTTTGTGGAACCTTCTTTTTGAGTTTTTATGAAGTCTTGCTTACATAGTTATGCCTGGCTAAACTGTTGACCATTTGTAATCAATTTAATCTGTAGCATCTCTGCCTTCTCCAAAGGATAGGGACTAGGACTGGAAATCCCAGGCCTCTAATTCTGCCTTGGTCTTTCTGGTGACCTGCATTCTGAAGCTACCTAGAGGCTGCGGGCTGCCTGAGTTTCTGTCTCACCTCAGAATAGTTATTATCAAGAAATTAACCAGTAACAAAAGCTGGAGGGGATATGGGAAAAAAAGAACCCTTCTCCACTGCTGGTGGGTATATAGACTGTAAACTGGTACAACCACTGTGGATACCAGAGTGGCGATTCTTCAAAAAACTAAGACTAGAGGTTCTGTTTGACCCAGTCATTCCCTTCTGGATAGCTTCCCAAAAGAATTAAAAGTATCATACCACAGAGATATATGCACATATAGGTTTATAGTGTCACAGTTTGCAATAGTCAAATCTCGGAAACAATCCAAGTGCTCATCAACTGGTCAATGGATAAAGATTTTTTTTATATATAATACAGCACTATTCTGCAAAAAAGGATAAGCTTGAGACATTTCTAGGAAATGGATGCACTTTGAGTCCATACTGTTAAGTGAAACAAATTGGACACGTGTAAATACCACATTGTTTCTCTGGTGTGAGAAATCAAAAGTGTAAGGACGGACCAAAATGTGTAATCAGTATTGCAAAATGGGAATAAAATGTTCGAATGGGAAAGGGAACAAGGGAGAGGAAAGGGAAAAAGGAAAGCAGGGAAAAGTTAAAAAAAAAAAAAAAAAGAAGGAAAACATGGATACAGTTTTGTCAATGGGAAGCAGAGGAAGAATTTAAGGAGAGTAGAGGAATGGCAAAAAAAAAACCAAGTTAAATCACGTAAAGGTACATATTATCTATGATGAATGTGATGTTTATGTATATCTAAAATGTACCAATTAAATCTGATTTAAAAATAGTAACAGTGTAGGGAAACAGGAAGTAGTACTCAGAACTAATCATTGGCTCCAGTTAAGTAAAACTATATCTCTTGCACGTTGCCAAGCAAAAGATTAAAACTGGACTCCACAGCTGAAGAAGAATCCTCCCACAATCTCCACTTACTGAGATCTCCAAATCTTCAAGGATTGCAGTAGGGGAAACACTTAGGATGAGAGAAGAAAAAGTGAACTCATACAAATTGGTATGAGCTTTCTTTTCAGGGAGAAAGGAGGTAGGAAAACATAATAAATCAAAACAAAGTTTTAAAAAAAGACAACAATATCCAGAGGTAAAATATTCCCATTGGAACCGTTCTGAATTTTTTTTTAATCTGTCAATTGATTACACAACATATGAAACCTAAGGGAACAAGAGATAATTTAAAACACGAAAAAATTTCACACTGCTCCTATCCTTTGAAGCTCGGCGATGTTACACAACTAGGCCGGTTTTGCCTGGTGCACAGGATGCCAATCACTGAAACAATGAGTTTTGCAAAACATAAAGTTCATATAGGAGGCAGGCAAACATGTGGAGGCTGCAGAGAAAGACTCAGTTCCACCTTCCCCAGGCTAGGGTTTGGGGATATTTTATTAACTGTTAACATCATGATCAGCATGTCAGAGGTATTAACTAAAAAGTAATTAAGAGCAGGTTGTCAAGAACTAGTGAAGCACGTTAAACCCAGAGGATTCAACAGAACTAGGATTAAATGATTTATCTAGATTTTCCTTTGCTTTCAGAGGCAATTCTAAAACAATCAAAACAGACAAAAGCTTGTTTCTCAGAGTGGGTTAGAAAATGCAAAAACTTTTAAATAAATTCCTGGACAAATATATCACGTATTCTTAAGGCCAATAAGAGGGTTGTGGGGTATAATGGTGGTGAATAAGTACTATCAGAATGCCTAGCTTCTAGTCCTGGCTTGCCTACTCAGTTGTAAAACAGTGATAATAATACCAGTATCGACTACCTGAAAGGCTGGTTTGGGCGTTCAGACAAAACCATGTATTGTTAAATTGTGTTTTGGAAACTGCAAGGTGCTCCGTAAATGTAAATTTTTATTATTCCACCGCTGAAATTATTGCAAACTTCCAAGCAGCAAGGAAGATCTAGGAGAGCCCTTTGGCCCTCTCACGTGCAAACACTGTTGGATTTCATCAATCCTGTCCTTTGTTTATGCGGGTGTCTTGAAGGAAACTTTTTAAAGTGTTTTTCAGATCTCGAGTACAACGCAAGGCCTTGCACACTGTACATAAGCGCTCTAAACACCCACTGAGCTACACCACTCATTTTTTAAAAATCTACAAAGCAATAGTAAAGTGTCCGTATAGGTACCACGCAAACAAGTGCTTATGAAACACTACCAAGTAGCCACAAAACCTCCAACTTCTTCAGAAAGCACTTTTCTGCGGAACAGTACGTAGTTCTCTTGGAAGATGCATCCCGCTAATCATTCATGCATGCGGTCCGCCGAGTGCAAATGTGAATTCACAGAATTACTCAATGACATACTTATTGTAATTCCCTTCTGATATTTAATAACGTGTCACAATTCCTCGGAACAGGCAAAATGTTGTAACGATCTGAAAACTCTAGGAAATCTTCCATCCCGTTCCCCGGCACCTAGCGGACACGATGCGCACACACTTGGCTCCCGGGCGTCCCGGCTCCCAGCCATCTCTTGATGCCACCTTCCTCCCTACGACGTCCAGTCACGTGACCCGGGAGCGGCGACGGCGGGGGCGCAGCGACGTCGGGATCGGGCGGGGCCTGGGTGGGCTCCGCAGCGCCGCGCAGGCGCCACAGGGTCGCGCTGAGCTGAGCCCCTCCTGCTCTCTGTAGGAGTCAAAATGGCGGCGAGGGAAACCTGGAGCAGTCCCGGAGCCTGAGCCACTGACAGGAGAGAGGGCGGCGGCAGCGGCAGCGGCAAGAGGAGGATGGCCGCGGGTGCTGGCGCCAGTGCGGACGGCGGTGCTGGTGGTGGCGGCGGCGGGGGTGACGGCAGCTGTCCCAGCAGCAGCGGCGGGAGGAGCCTCCGGGGTGAGTGTCTCTCGGTGTGTTTGAGCCCGAGAAGCCGACGTTCTGCCCGGCACGGCACCGGGCGTCCCGGCAAGGAAGGAGCTGCGCCTGAGTGTGGGGACGCCGGAACTGGGGCTGGGGTTGGGACAACACTGGAGGTGCGAGCGCGGGACGTGGGGCGGGGACGAAGGAGTCGTCTGTCCCGGGCTCAGGCACTGTGGCGCCGGACTGGCCGGTCCTAGACGCTCCGAGGGGCGGGCTGGGCTGCGCGCCGCCGTCCCGGGGACAGAAGCTCGAGGTGTAGTCCTCGTGGCGGGAGGGTGGCCCGAAGTAGTCGCGGCCTGGCGGGCTTTGGGTTCGGGGTCCCAGCTCCAAGGGGCGGGACCTGACGCCCCCAGGACCCAGGAAAGCGCTCCGGCGACTCAGGTGCCAGTCAGGCCGCGACCTCCGGAGGTGGGCGGAGAGCAAGGGACCCGGGTTTAGGGACCAAGAATGCCTGAGACCGGCTACTCTCAGGGGGAGAAGTAAGATCGTCCAATAAGTCACTGTTTAGAGGATAAAGCTGAGATGGAGCTTTGACAGGTAAGGGAAGGGGGAGACAATACCAAGTGTTTGTAAAGGGGAGGCGGCTGTGCTCCTCGGAATACTTGAATGGCAAAAGGCTTGTCTCTTTCTGTGCTTTGCACGGCTGTTTACAACCATGCCCCTGAGGTAAGCGAGAACTTTTGGTTTTTGGAGAAACTCTGAAAAGTATTTCTGCCTTGAACTACAATAGCACCTTTTCACATAGCAGCACAGATAATTAGTACTCTGGAGTAGGCCTAATTTACTGAAGCAGTCTTGGCTATCTTTACCAATGTCACTCTTTCCTTTGCTAAAAACCTTACTGTAAGAGAGACAGGTTTTTTTTGCAGAATTACTGTTTTTTCAACTAAAAGAACTGTTTGTCTCTGAATAGCATCCGTTTCTTTTAGATTGCTGAAATAAATTGCTTTCTTCGTGAAATGTGGAAGGAAGATTTGAAATAGTTTAACAAGAATCATGCATTGTTAACAGCAGCTGTGATTACACTTGTCTTGGAATTTTGGAGTGAGAAAAACCTGTAGAAATGTGGTGTGACTGTTGTATTAAAAGCCCGGAAACCAGGCCCAGAGAAGTGTGTGATTTGCCACGCATGAGTCTTACGTTGATGAGGGATGAGATCAAAACTAGAACCTAGGCCTATTTAAATGCCATTCAGAGAGCCCTTTAGCTGCCCAGTCTTCACCGATTGTATTCTTCAGTACACTATCTATCCCAGTCTCTAGGTCTATGTGCAGTACAAATGAGGGTGTCTACTTCTGACAACTCACTCAGATAACTAAAATTTCCTTTTTTTTTTTTCCCAACCTGATTTTAATAAAAACTGAGTGACAATTCATTTGGAGTTTTCATAGCCCCACAATTACATTTTTTATCTTATTGTAGCATTGATCTTTCTTGTGTGGATTCAGCAATGCAGATCAATATTCTGTCCCACAAAAACTAAATACTTACTATATGGTTTTGTGTCCCAACACCTGCTTGGACAAGTACTTTGTACCAAGACACTGATACTGGTAAAAATACCTGTGGTTGTTTTCCTAGTTAAACTGCCTAATTTCCATCCATCACATGGTTGGATCACAGCTACTTTATTTGTAGTGTTTCCTAGGTTAACCTTCAGAAATACAAGAAAACCAAATAATTCTAATTTCACATGCCAGCCACTGAGGCTCATACATAAAAATCATATAAGTGATTCCTGAAGATCTTTGTGTTACACCTTATACTAGAACTAAGGGAGGAATAAGAATGTAATATATAGACTTTGCTGTCTGGTTCCCACTGGAAAGATAAGATGTACCCACATGAGTCTGGAAGAATTCTGTGGGTGTTTAGAATGAGGCCTCAGGAGTCTAAAGAACTTCCTGGAACACTTAGGACTTTAACTGGCCAATGAGGGTTTATATTTACAGAGTTGGAAGCAGTCACTTTGTGAGGAAAGAAGAGCAAGAGTGTAAATTGAAGATTAACTTTGAGGGAGGAGCATAGGAGACTAAGATGAGCTAACAACTGAATTTTCTTGAGAGAATGATCTCCATTGGAAATGTTAGACAGTTGGAAGGATGTCTCTGTAGAACATGTGCTGAATTAAAGAGCTTTGGTTTTTTTATTCTCTTGTGCAGTTAAGGAGCACTTTTGAAAGTTTGGAGGCCAGGGGTTAATATGATAGACCAGCAAGGTGAACTTGACAGTGATCCACAGGTTGAGTTAGAATGAGGATAAAGTAGAATGATCCAGGATAGACAGTAGCTAGCTGTTTGACCTTACTGAAACAAATGAGATCCTAAAGTAGGGTGGAGTAGGTGGGAATGCTTGCAGAGCTGGTATATGTGTGTGGTAAAATACACATAACATAAAATTTACCATCTTAGTTTTGATAATTTTACAGATCTCTGGCCTTTTTTTTTTTTTTTTTTGGTGCCAGGGATAGAACTCAAGACTTGGCCATGCACTTACGCTGCTGAGCTAAATCCCTGGCTCTCTGATCCTTTCTATATTTACTTATTGTACAACCATTGCCACCAGCCATCTGCAGTTTTTCTTTTTATTTGTAGTATGATGACAAAAGCCAAGGCCTTGTGTGTGTTAGACAAGCACTATATCACTGAACCATGTCCTCAACCCTAAACATTGTTTTTTAAATTTCATTTCATTTTATTGAGTGCTAGAGATTGAAACCAGGGCCATATGATGCCTAAACAAGTGATCCATCACTAAGCTATATCCCTGTGTGCCAGAATCTTTTCATCTTTTAAACTGAAATTCATTACTGTAGTAAACTCTAAAGTGGCTACTTTGCAACCTCTAGCAACCAACATATTACTCGGTATCTATGAATTAGGTATTCTAGATACCACATATAAATGGAATCATGGCATCATACAGTAGTTGTCCTTTTATTATTGGCTTATTCAACTTAGCATAATGTGTTCAAGTTCCCATCCATGCTGTAACATGTATCAGTTTCCTTTTAAGGCTGAATAATATTTCATTCGTTGTGTTTGCTGCATTTTATCTGTTCATCCAGCAGTAGACGTTTGAGTTGTGTCTACTTTTTGACTGTTGTATAAATGCTGCTAGGAACATGGATGTTGTTCACATTCCTATTTTCATGGGACTTTTTTTCAGGAAGGTGTGATGCCGAGAAAATGTTCTATTCCCACCAGCCATGCACAAGGATTGCACTCTCCACGTTGTGGCCAACATATGGGTGCTTAAGTGATTGGATTTGGGGTGGGGGGGAGAGGAGAGGGGAGGGGAGAAAGAGAAAGAGAAAGAGAGAAAACACTGTCCTAACCATCTTAATGAAAATGAAGGACTACCTTATTGCAGTTTTGATTTGCATTTCTCTAATGATAGTGTTGTGAATCTTTCTGTGATTATTGGCTTTAATCAAGTTGATGTTGTTGAGTTGTAGTTCTTTGTATTTTCTAAATATTAGTTCCTTATCAGACATGATTTAGATATATTTCCTCCCAATTCATACAAGTGTTTAATCTTAGTGAAATCTTGCTTATCTAGCTTGTTTATTTATTTGTTTTTGGTATCGGTAATTGAACTCAGGACGTTGGGCTTGCCAGGCAGGCACTGTGCTACTGACTTAAATCCTCTCCGCTTAGCTTTTCTTTTGTTATTTGTATTTTCAGTCTCATATTTTTTCTCACTGAATGATCTTGTACTCTTATTACCAAAAATCATCTGAGGGGCCAAGAGTATAGCTTAGTGGTAGAGAACATGTTTAACATATGCAAGGCTCTGGGTTTGATACCTAGCATTAAGGAAAAAAAATCATTTGATCGAGCTGGGGATTTAGCTCAGTGACATAAGTGCCTGCCTGGCAAGTGTGAGGTTGTGAGTTCGATCCTCTGGTACAAAAAAAAAATCATTTGATCTTAAGTTCAAGGATTTACAGTATTTCTGGACCTTATATTCTATTGCTTTGGTCTGTAAGTCTTATTGCCAGTACGACCCTGTTTAAATACTGTAGCTTTAAGTTATGTAATCAATAAGTGTGAAAACTTCACTTTGTGATTTTTTTTTTCTCCCAAGATTGTTTTGCTATTTGGAATCCCTTGAGATGCCCTATAAATTTTAGGAATTATTTTCTTTCTTTCTTTCTTTTTTTTTTTTTTTAATTTAAGGAGAAAAGAAAAAAACAAAAAGGTTACAAGTGATACAAAATTTAAAAAATAAACAGTAAGAAATCACTAGTTAATAGATTACATATTCTCATCTTAGAAATAGTTGTTCAAGTTACAAAATTAAAGCATATATAAAGTGGACTTTCAAACAGTGAGAGTGCAAACAGTTTTGTTCAATGATCCAAAAAAACTCAGTAATGTGGTTATCCATCCTACACACTCAAACATATATACAGTTAAAACCTTTAGAGCACCTTCTTTTCTTTTCTTTTTTATAATGACAATTACACATTTTGGGTTATATTACTCCCACAGTTCTTATTACTTTTTTTGAAGAGAGTAAAACCAAATGCGACATGTCAGAACAGAGTCAGTCAAATCAAAAGGATGGACATAATAGATAATGTAAAAACAAAATACAAGGTGATCAACAATGGTTAGTTACCATACTGCCTCTTGCTATCTTAAGAAGAATTGCCTAAATCATCAGTTATAATAAAATTGAACAAAACAGTAAAGAATACAACCAAAACACTGGAGACATTACAGGACTTTAAAAGAAGATTAATATTAAGTCAACCAGAATGGGCATCTTAATGAATCTTATTGTCTTCACAGTTAGGAATTATTTTCTAATTCTACATAAACAAAAAATAAGTGACTATTAAGAGTTTAGTCATTGCATTAAAATGTCAGTTACACTAAGTAGTATTGCTATTTTTAATCTTTAGTCCATGAAACTAGATGTTTTTCTATTTATTTGTATCTTTAACTTGTCAGGCTTTTTTGCTGTCA